TATCATGTTCTGCTTTATATTTAAAATCATTGCAGCAGTTTTCCCTTCTGTGTAATATTTTTTTTTTACAATACAATTGGAAATAAATATCAAATTAAGGCAATTTACTACATTTACATCATTTTAGTCTTATTAATGTTTTATTTAAATATTTCACGATTCAATTATTATGCAATATGAAAAAGTATATATTCTATCAAATTTTATTGCTTTTTTTTACCTGTCATTAACGACTACATAGGGGGTTCGTCAAATTTTTTTGGACTTTTCTTTTGGTTCGCGTGGACAAAAAGGTTGGGAAACACTGCTGTAGAGGACCATATTGATCTATATTAAATGCACAATGTATATTTAAAAGTACTTAATTGGATAAGGATTAATGCTGTATTCCTTAAAATCGCTTCGTATATAAGCCATTATTTCTCGTAAAAAGTAAAAGATAAAAAATGGTTATTGTGGTTTATCCCTAAGAGAAAGACATACCATCGCTGACTTTTTTGTAGTATAATACTGTGGCATATTATTTTGATCTATCTCGTAGGGTTCAACCAGCGTTAGCTATGTAAGCGCAAAAAATGTGTTTATTTACGACATCACATTACAAACCTCTAAAATTATCAGTGTTTTTCTACTATATTATGCAATTGTTATACATATAAACCTTCTTCTTCAATTATTTTATCTATAAAAAAAACCGCATTAAAATCCGTTGCGTAGTTTTAAAGATCTAAGCATACATAGGGACAGAAAGCGGGGGAAATGCCTTGCATTATTTCGTTACATAGCAAGTCGCATGAAACAAACTTACCCTACCGTGCATAAAGAAGTTTTACTTCAAAATAATAACAAAAACTGTAAAAAATTTGTTTCAGTTATCAATGAAATTAATGTAAAGGTATTGTTAAGTTATGTTATTTATTAGTACAGCAAGGGCTGGTACCGTTTCATATTAAAGTACCTTTATTTTTGGTTATTAGTTAGTTAAGATGTTAAATATAAATAGATTAATTTTGTTAAATAAGCAAAAGTTAACAGTTGTTGTTGCTTTCATCAATTCGATTCAATTATAGAGAAAATTAATTAAGGTAGTTTGAAGCCAGTTTATGAACCCTTTCTTTTTTAATTAAGATTATTAAAACTTCGCTTATTAAGAAAATAGAAGAACCAATTAAAGTCTAAAACTGTTTCTAACTTTAAAATGCAAAGCAGCTTCGACACTTTAAAATTAACGTCAATTTAATAATACCCCAGGAAAGATTTGTAATTAATCATTACGCTTTCAAAATACACTCTCAAAGATATTATACAAGTTTCTTAAATAAAATTAGCTCCCACATCATCATCAGAAGGTCGTCAGTCCTAAGACTGGTTAGACACGCACCTCCACTCTTTCCTATCCTGAGCTAATCTTCGCATTTCCCTATAACGAGAACAACCCACATCCTTAACTATTTGCGAACAGTGATCTAATCTAAGTCTACCTCTACCCCTTCTAACTCCTGTTTCTGCCTCTAATATGTCTCTGACTAGATCTTCATCTCCGAGAAGGTGTCCTACCAACCTATCTGGCCTATTTTTTTTATAGACTTCCATGGAGTTTTCTGTTCTCCTATTCTTTCTAATACCTCTTAATTTCTAACCTCTATCTGCGCTATCCTCATCATTAGCCTATAAGAACACATTTCGAAAGCTTCTAATCTTTTCTTTTCCGCCGCGCCCACCGTCCATGTTTCGCACCCGTACAACGCCGCTCTCCAAACGTACACCTTTAACAACCTTTTTCGAATTTATAAATTAACCGTTCGCGAGCATTTTTTGTTCTTTTTATTAAAGGCGACACGATCCTGCGCTATCTTCTGCTTTATATCTCTACTACTCCTTCCGTCCTGACTTATCTGACTAGACTAGATATCTAAAATCAGCCACTTCTTCTAATTTTTCGTCTTCTATCGTTATATTCGCTCTTTCCCTACTTGTTCTTTTCTTGCATACTAGTATTTTAGTTTTACTTCTATTTATTTTCATACGGTACTGATCTGTTAGTACCGCTTCCATTTTATTTAAAGCTATCTCTTAGTCCTCCTTGCTAGATGCTAATACTGCTATATCATCTGCAAATCTAAGCATACTAATCTTTTGCCACTGTATATCTATCCCTACAGTTGTACTGCCTTTAGCTCCCACATTAAAGGTTTATTTCAGGTTTTCTTCGTCAGTATTACTAGGATATAACGTAGAAAGAAAACGATTTCATCTTACGTGCAGTGAATTGCGCTCTGTGCTGATAGAAAATGAAAGACGTAGACTTAAAGCTAGGTAGTTTTTTTCCAAAAAAATTAGAAAAACTTCTATTTAGTCCCATCGTTTTTCTTAATTTCTGAAATAATAGGGAGTATATACTTTAAGCACATTTTACCATTATTTTTGAAAATATTCGATCCCTTATAATTATACTCTGAACGTGTAAAATATCTGTATGTTTACATATTTATTGTAATTTAGGCGTTCAAATTGTACAGTTACTGGAATGATGTCACCTAAATTTGTACATCCATCATTGAATACGACAATGCTGTTAAACGAGATTATGATTGTTTTACACATGACGCCATCTGTGATTCGAAAAATAACTCTTTTCTTTGTTAAATTAGGTTATGTTAGGTTAGGTTAGAATGCTACTTGGTTAGGTTGCGTTAAATTCTTTTTAAAATTCGATTTTCACCATAGTTCCAAGGGACCTGGGGAACCCGGAAATCGGGTCGTATCATAACTTCAAATGAAATTATAATGCAAAAATTATAAATCGGGTAGGAAAAACGGAGACAGCTTGAATCGGACTCATACTTAGCCGGTAACAACTGCAATAAAATCGAGTGAGATCGTAGCAGGCTTCTTAAATCGGGGTAAAACTTGCTCTGAATATTTCGCAAATTAGAAGGATGAAAACTGATTTTCGAAGAAGTTGATATGCGAAAACTGTAAAATAAGTTACGAATAACCTAGACCACTGTAGAGACTACTAACGAAGAGATTCGTCATTGATCAATCTTGACGGCCTGAGAATTTTTTATTTTTGTGTAATCTGCTGGTGTATTTACGCAAAAATCTTTCTTACAGTTGTCTCAAAATGAATTTATAACTGCGGAAGATATTCCATTAATGTCACGTTAAATGAGGCAGATTGCCACTAAGGAAACTAGGTCCAAGCAAGGATTTATAACATGTGATTGCAAGAAACAGCGCCAAAGTAAAAAGTACTAATTTACTTACAGCAATGTCAAATGTATCTTATTATTGCAATAAATTAGTAATGCTTTTTGTCCGAGTTAATAGCTGTGTTTCTGAGAAATGAATATTACTTTCCTTGATAAATAGCATTTGTGTAATTTTACTTGGGGTCTGGGCATTCCTAAATTGCGAAATGCATGAAAATTAAAAATGATCATCTACCGAAGTATATTCATATTCGAAATTTGAGCATGAGTTCCATTTCGGAATCATGCTTTCAGTAACTGTTCATCTGGTTTTTATCATATCGCAAACTGATGATTACTTGTTACGTCGAAGAAGCGAATTCTGTATATGAGTTTAACGTATATCTATATCAGAATCCCATGGTTAGTAGTTGACATCGTCAGCGGTTATTTAGTAGCTAGTTATGAACCCGATTCTTCATTTAAATAGAATGCAAACTACTTTTCGGGTTTCCCGCGTCGCGGTTAATTTTCGGCTTTCAATGTCTACTATGTCATTCAATATTACAGCAGTTTTGAAAAAAAGAATGGAACCACTTGCCTAGTAGTCTAAAACCTAAGCAGTTAATTAGGGGTTAATTATGAGCCTGGTTCTAACTGTCTAGGATTGTCCTAACTAATTTAAAATTTCTGAGCTACACTCTGTAAAATTGAAAGTAACCCCAGAGATCATAAACCATTGGTTATTGTCACCGTTATAAATAAAACTGCGTATTGTTGTCTTACGTTAAACGGGTTTCCCCGAGTCTCGGCTAATTTGCAACATTCATGGCAAATTATTCTATGGTTTGAATAGCATTTGCCTTGTTATTCCAACTTCAAAGGGGTTGCGTTATACACTTTATAGTTTGCATCTGACATTCTTAAATATGAAGTATTAATCTGAAGTCACTTTTCGAATTTTTTACCCACAACAAACTACCTCAGGTTAATGAAAGAAAATTGTTGCTGTTGTCACACCCTCGCCGGGAATCGAACCCGGGACCTTTCATCTCTCGTAGTGGTCAGAAAATACTACAAATGGCGCAGTAAACGCCATCTGTAGCACGATGCTACATTTTAGGATTACGTATGCTCCAACACGGTCCACATGTGTGGATATCTACTTGCTGAAAACGAATCCCGGCGTAGCCAACCTCAACGTGATAGGCACGTTTAGCTTAATCGAATAAAATAATTCGAAGTGGTCTGTATTCTGTCGAAACTGCCAGACGCGGATTGCCATTTCGATCTTTTTGGATCGCATCCGGCAGAATACAGACCTCTTCGAATTATTTTATTCGATTAAGCTAACGTGCCTACCACGTTGAGGTTAGCTACGCCGTGATTCGTTTTCAGCAAGTATATATCCACACAAGTGGACCTTGTTGGAGCATACGTAATCCTAAAATGTAGCATCGTGCTACAGATGGCGTTCACTGCGCCATTTGTAGTATTTTCTAAAACGCACTGTTAAGACAGCAGGTTGGTCTGTGTTCTGTTGGAGCCTGCGACGCTCTGATGAGATCCAAAAAGATCGAAAGCGCGATCCGCGTCTGTCAGTTTCGACAGAATACAGACCACTTCGAATTATTTTATTCGATTAAGCTAACGTGCCTATCACGTTGAGGTTGGCTACGTCGGGATTCGTTTTCAGCAAGTAGATATCCACACAAGTGGACCTTGTTGGAGCATACGTAATCCTAAAATGTAGCATCGTGCTACAGATGGCGTTCACTGCGCCATTTGTAGTATTTTCTAAATGAAATGATTGTTTATTTATGGGTAATTTACCTGTCGAACTCTCTTCTTCGATGTACTAACTCGAAAAATACCAAGCGTATGAAGTCCATTAATTTGAAGATGCCTAAGACATACGTTCAATATATTGGGAACGGCAGGTTCTTCCGATTGTACTGCTGCATTTAAATCAGCCGTTGATCCGTAATTAGATATCGAATCTAGAAGGCCAGGCACACTACCCGTCAGTTCTTTCTCTTTTATCATCAGGCTATCACAGGAACCGTTCTGAAACAAGAAAACAAAATTAAATTTTCTACACAATATTGCGAACGTTTAAGAGGTGGATGCAGATATTACGTGTAAACTACATTATTTTTTTGGGTATTTTTGTAAGATGTTATTGTTCATCATGTCTTGGTTTAAAATTGGCTGTCCAATGGTGAAGCAAGTTTGCTGACCAGGCTTGGGTAAAACTTACGTTTACCATGCTGTAGTCAGAATTGAACTGTCTTGGGTCAAGTTTGTCGTGATTTCCTACAGTGATTTTCGCCAAATTGTGGATATTTTTAATCATCATAAGGTCGTCAGTCCCAAAAACACGCATCTCCACTGTTTCCTAGCCTGGTCATTTCGCAGTTCCCTAAAACTAGAACAACTCACATCCTTAGCTATATGCGAACAGTAATCTCATCTAGGTCTATCTGTATCCCTCCTAACTCCCGTTTCTGCCTCTAAAAAGGTGTCCTACCAACCTGTCTCGCCTATTTGTTATTAACTTCCATAGAATCCCTTGTTCTTCTATTATTTCTAATACCTCTTCATTTCTAACTTCTATTCACGGTATCCTCATAATTCGCCTGTAGCGCCACATTTGGAACGCTTCTAACTTTTTCTTTACCGTCGCGCCCACCGTCCATGTTTTGCATCAGTATAGCGCCGAGCTACAAACGTATACCTTTGAGGAACACCTTTTAGGAACAATTAAATTAAAGTGCATAAAAAATACACTCATTCATATGGAACGCCAATTCAACAGCAGACGATAAAGGAACGCTATCTGTCCGAAAACGGTGTGACATAGGTATTCATAGTCCATAGTCCAGGATTGTCTTTAGCTATCTGAGTCATCCGCGTGCAAAATATGATTTAACCGCCCTCTTATTTTATTTAATGCGACATGCGGTAAAAATAATGCACTAGTTATTTGCATGGAAGTTGAGGTGCTCCTAAATTTGTGGTACAACGTAATCGTCGACTTTTCTGTTTTAATTTAAATGATAAAAACAATCATTGTCCTTCATTCTTCTGAATAACAGTATCATGGAGCAATTAATCCAATGCAACATTTGAAGAAATGAGATGACGTTCCCTGTTCGTGTCGGGTGTCGCACCGGCTTTTCATCCCTCAGTTGTAATATTTTGAATGTACGTATCTAATTATCAACCGTTTGTGAAGTATTTGCCAAAAAATATTAATCTTGGAGAAAAATGTGCGCCTTTGCAGGCAATCTTGTGATTTGATTTATCACACCTGGGATTGTCGCCCGCTAACGTCAGGCCTATGTAACCCAGCTGTTTTCCTCATAATATGTGTATTTCAAGTGGATGATGCCATTCACTTTTTGCAACGTAATAGATTACGTTCATCAGTTTTTGTTCTATATCAGTAAATATACATCGTCTATTATTATTGATCGTGCAAATGACCCAGTCGTTCTCTTTTTAGTAAATAGTTTTACATCCGCTCCTCATAATATTATTGTTAAAAAAAACATACACTTCTAATTCATCCTTCGCTAAAGTTATCAGTTGTCAGTTTTGCTTCGTTTTACGATTGCTATTGTTTGATTAATTATATTGTTGTTATTATTTAAGATTGACTATTTATTATAAAAGCACAGACACATATATATACAGGTCTTTATTACTCAATTTTGATATTTTTATTATGTAGTTTAAGATGTCTCCAAGTAATTAAAAGATTAACTGCATGAGGCACAGTTTGATGAATTAGTTGTAACAGGTCAATTGAAAAGTCCCCGGCCTAAAATAGTAAAACACATTTTTTTTGCAAAATTCGTTTTTTTTATTCAACATAATTTCCTTCAAGGGTGATACACTGATTATAGCGATCCTCCAACTTTTCGATACCATTTTTGTAGTACGATTTGTCCTTTGCTTCAAAATAGGCCTCAGTTTCGGCGATCACCTCTTCATTCGACGAAAATTTTTTCCCAACGAGCATTCTTTTGAGATCTGAGAACAGGAAGTAGTCGCTGGGGGCCAGATCTGGAGAATACGGTGGATGCGGAAGCAATTCGAAGCCCAATTCATGAATTTTTGCCATCGTTTTCACTGACTTGTGAGACGGTGCATTGTCTTGGTGAAGCAGGACTTTCTTTTTCTGCAAATGCGGTCGTTTCTCGGCGATTTCGTCCTTCAAACGGTCCAATAACGCTATGTAATAGTCGCTGTTGATGGTCCTTCCTTTTTCAAGGTAGTCAATGAAAATTATTCCACGCGCATCCCAAAATACAGACGCCATAACCTTGCCAGCCGACTGTTGCGTTTTTGCACGCTTTGGAGCGGGTTCATCGTGTGCAGTCCACTCCGATGACTGTCGATTGGACTTCGGAGTGAAATGATGGAGCCATGTTTCATCCATTGTCACATATCGACGCAAAAACTCGGGTTTATTACGCGTGATCATCTTCAAACACTGCTCTGAATCATCAACTCGTCGTTGTTTTTGGTCAAAAGTGAGCTCGCGCGGCACCCACTTTGCACAGAGCTTTCTCATACCCAAATATTCGTGAATGATGTGATGTATACGTTCCGTTGATATCTGTAGAGTGTCTGCTATTTCATTCAATTTCAATTTACGGTCATTCAAAATCATTTTGTGGATTTTTTTAATGTTTTCGTCCGTAACAGCCTCTTTTGGGCGTCCACTGCGTTCACCGTCTTCGGTGCTCATTTCACCACGTCTAAACTTAGCATACCAATCCTTGATGGTTGATTTTCCTGGGGCAGTGTCCGGAAATTCGTTATCAAGCCAAGTTTTTGCTTCAACTGTATTTTTTCCCTTCAAAAAGCAATATTTTATCAACACGCGAAATTCCTTTTTATCCATTTTTTTCACAATAACAAAAGTTGCTTCACTAAAAATGCTATAATTCACAAACTAATGATCCGACAGCCGTCAAATTTATAGACGCGTCTTTTGAAGGTTAGGACTAACTGAAAATCATATGGATTTAGTTCTGGTGCCGCCATCTATGTGTCAGGCCGGGGACTTTTCAATTGACCCTAGTATAATGAATCATATAATTTTATGGTATCATATTGAGTCATAGAACACTCTAAATATAGCTCAAGCCCCAACTCAAAACCAGGACACTAATCGTTAAAGTACTTTTCAGTAACAAAGTTTCCTCCTTCAGGGATTTAAAAGAACTGAAAACTAAGGGCATGTTTAACATTTAAATACTAACCCAATGGACTTTGCAGCATGATAGCAAGACAAATTAAATTAGTTTAAATAGTGGAGAATTTCGGGTAGGACCCTTGCCATGGTTAGGAGAATTCGATCGGTTTTTATAAATATATGTACGTATTTTCAAAACTCATTTAAGATTGTCGATATTGATCCTATGAATCTCGGTGGAACAACATTGGATTCTACTAAACCTGGCATGAGCTAAATGCTCTTTGAACCTAATGTGAATTTAGCGCCTAGTTTGTCCAACATATTTATTATTTTTACAATTCTCTTCATATATCTAAAACCTCTAGAAAAGGAATTTATAGTATTTAAATGTTCAACTTGCCTTTAGTTTTTATTTTTGTTCAGTCCCTTCATAAGGTAACCTACTTGTTGCCGAAGAGTACTTCGGAGGCTTATTGTCCTGCTTTGGTGTTGGGATTTATTCTATTTATGTGTTCTACAACACCGCCAATGTTTTCCCGCAAACATTATTGTTTAAGTTATAAAGTCCTTAACCAAACATAACATTATTTTTAACATTATGCAGCATCGTGACTTAGTCAGTAATTTTTGTAGGAACTATTTATGATATCAATAGGAAGCTGGAAATGGTCTTTATTTAAAAATACATAAGTATGTATATAAGATCTATTGTATAAGGTAGTTGTAAGTAATTGTTGAAAAAATTAGGGTGCATTCTATTTAGATTTATATCAAAATTTTGTTTTTGTTTCAGGTATGTACTTGTGCAAGCCGAATTGTTACATTCCTATGAGGGTGAGCCTACATTTTTTCTCTGTATATGGAAGTCTATGTTTATTTTGAAGTATTTACTGATTTTTGGTAATAGGCTTTATTAAATGAAACTTATATCGTTCTTTTAACAGTGTCTCTTATCTGCTTCATTAATTAGAATGATGTAGGGTGAATTCAATTTTCTTAAAAACTTATGAATTGGATTTTCTGTCGTTGTTTGACATCATTTTTGAGAACGCAGTTTAACTCATTTTAGAATTCATTATCTTTGACAATTTCTGAACAAAATTGATCTTGGTCTTGCAGTCTTGGTGATGGTCTTGCGAAAATACAAAACCAACACCAATACCAAGACATCTTGCTAGTAGATCAAGACCGAATGAACAAGACCAATACTAAAACCAAGGTCGAATATGTAAAACCAACACTAAATACGCAAGACTAAAAGAAAAATTATTACTTTCAGTGGATTATGAGTTAAACTATTTGAAGAAACTTTTAATATATATTTAAAGTTGAACTTAGTGACTATCGTACTAGTTGAAATAAAGATTAATAAATTGAGGGTGTCGGTAGGTCCAAGGCGCAAATTTGAAATTAATAAATGTAACAACACAAGCCTTCGAAATGTGGTGTTATAGGCGAATGACGAGGATAGTGTGGATAGAGAAGAAAAGAAATAAAGAGGTATTAGAAAGAATACGAGAACAGAGGACTCTATGGAAGTCAATAAAAAATAGGCGAGATACGTTGGTAGGACACCTTCTCAGGCATTGTTAAATTTCACAGGCAGATATTCGGGAACTTACTATTGTAAGTGGAATATCAGCACACGCGTTAAATTAATAAGGCGTGTTGTTTAATTCTTTGGTGGAAGGTAGAAAAAAATAGAACTCTTGCAGCGAAGTCGACTTAATTATGTATTTACAATATGTACAGAGAATGATTATACAAGTGCTCCTTGCATTTTTGTGCTGACTTAGTTCAAGTGCTTCTTTTGAAGTCCTTGGTCACATCTTATATCTACAACTTAAAAACTAGG